GNGGTTGTAANAAAATAATTTCTTTAGTTTCNTAATNTTTNTTGGGAATTTGTTTAGAATATCCCANTTAGTTTATCAACANATTGGTTTCTTTAACTTTATTTTGTTTGTTTTTCGATAATAAAAATTAAGGAAAGCAAATTAAATTGAATAGTCCACATTTCTAGCGATTTGGTTAGTGGGCGGCTTGATTTGTGCTCATGGTATTACGAAATGTTTAGATTTTAAAAGTTAAAGCCAAATTTATTTTTGGTTGATTATTAATTAGTCTAAAGTTAATATTCATGTCATTTTTTTTACAAACTATGTCATCATTTTTCTAAAACTATGTCATAGTTTACAGCAACCAAATTAAAACACATAAGTAAACTAATAAAAGTTAATCAAATTATCAACCAAAATTATATTATTACTTTTAATTCAACTTTTCTAAGAAATCTTTGAGCAAACCAAAATATAAAGATTCTAAGGGAATAATAAAAATCATGGGCTAGAACCTGAAAGCATATCTTGTAGTTGTGATTGAGATTGGGATTGGGATTGTTGTTTCTGTTGCAATTGTTCTTTCTTTTCTTCCCCTCTCTCAAACAATTTAGAAGATAAATATAACCTTTGTCGGGAAAGGATACATGTCAAATTACATTTGATTTGCCTGATTTAATCAAAAAGAAAGAACAAGTTAGTTGAGCGGGAGTATAACTACATAAACGAAATTCGACATAGATACAAACAAAAAAATAGATTAAAAACCATGAAAAAAAGAGAAAAAATAAATTACGTCAATTTAGAAACTCTAAAGAAAAGAACTCCGCATCAAAATTAACTTCGCATCATTAACTAATTGATTTTCATGGCAGCAATTATTTTTAAAAATTGAAAGAATTTGTGATGATAAAAATATGAGAAATTTCAAAAAATGCAACTTTTTCAAGTGTCACTTTACAAAAATGCCACACTTTTGAAATCTTTACAAAAATGCCACTTTTTCAAAAAAAAAATTTATATTATTTATGTCTGGGTTAATTATGTTCTATTAGGGTTTAGTTTTGAGTGTTTAGGAGGTTTTAGATGTCAAAACATTTTTTAGGGTTTAGAATTTTAAGATGTAGAGCTTTATAAATATATAATTAGTGGCATTTTTGTAAATGGACACCCCTAAGTGGCATTCTTGATCATGTTCACACAAAAAGTGGTATTTTTGTAATTGCCCCTAAAAATATACCAACAATATATGATATATCTCTTAAAACTAAGAATATACCAAAATTAACTAAAAAATTCCGGAATATATATTATTGTTATAGAACATTTAATCTCGAAAATTATATTTATGGGATATAAAAGTTATAGAAATATATTTTCCATTTTTAATTGATATTATATTAAGTGACTATAGTTGATCATATGATTAAACAATAACAATTTTGATGTTATATTATAACATATATAAATAAATTGATAGTGCAATAATTTTTATAACATATAAGGAAATTAAGATTAATACAATGGCATGTCATTTTTAAAATCAAAAGTAATTGAATGTCAAGATCATGTGTTATATGAATATTATGAAACATTGTCATTTAACTACTTTCCAAACTTCGGACTTTCTTACCTTTTCGGCTAACTATATATATGAAACATTAAAACGTCAAATTGATTAAATTTTGAATTTTTCTGGAAAATACGTAATATGAGAAGACTTTTCAAATTTCAAAATTTGGGTGTGGTTTAAGATATACGTAATATGAGGATTTAAAATATACCAAAAAATTTTCTATGAACGTACTATAATAAGAATTTGAAATTTGGAAAAAAAAACCAACAAAAATGTTTTCTAATAAAGAGTCAAATATCTTATTATAGTTTAATCGTCTAATTATATATCATCACATGTATAATTATAACTTAACGACATTTTAAACTGGTGTAAAAGAGCTGAATATGAATGTAACGCCCGTGAACCAAAAATGTGTTTTTTTTGGTGGTGCGTCGAGCGATGCAGGGGGCTTGCGTCGAGCGACGCAAATCTTTAATCAGACCGGGAAGTCGGGTTTGATCGCACGGTTTGTGTGATGGTTTAGCGGAGCCTAGGGTTTGATATAAAAGGCTGGAACAGGGT